TTCTCTTTTATTAGAATATCAGAAAATTGATACGTATTTAATAGGCACTTTGTGTTCTTCATGGCTACACTCACCAAGTGGGAAGGTGTTGTCTTAATCTGTGGTCTCTCAGCCTAACCAAGCATCAACAAACTGCTGGGAGAAGAATATAAAATATAAGCTCAGAGGAAAGCTGCAAGACTAGAATCACTAAGCATGAACATTTATAGCTTTCTTCCTTTTCACATTAACATATAATGTTCCATTTTTTTCAACTGAGGAAAAATGCTCCTCTCTACCCCCAAATCAAAATACACGCTCTTGATCTTCAGAATGATCTTTAATCTGTCTTTTTTCTTTAAGTTTTTCTTTTTCTTTCTTTTTTTTTTTAAAGATTTTTTTTATTTATTTGAGAGAGAGAGAGAGAGTGCACATGAGAGGGGGGAGGGTCAGAGGGAGAAGCAGACTCCCCGCTGAGCAGGGAGCCCTGGGACTTCAGGATCATGACCTGAGCGGAAGGCAGTTGCTTAACCAAGTGAGCCACCCAGGCGCCCTCTTTTTTTTTTTTTTTTTAAAGACTTTAGTTATGTATTTGAATGAGAGAGAAAGAGATAACAAGAGAAAGAACACAAGTGGGGATGGGGGATGCAGAGGGAGAGGGAGAAGCAGACTCCCCTCTGAGCAGAGAGCCTAGGGATGGATTAGCCTGGTGATGGGTATTAAAGAGGGCACATTCTGCGTGGAGCACTGGGTGTTATACACAATGAATCATGGAACACTACATCAAAAACTAATGATATAATGTATGGTGATTAACATAACAATAAAAAAATTTAAAGAAAAAAAATTGCCCTAATTCCATCAGTGACCACTCAGTGTCATTCAGTGGCTTTTCCTCTCATCTCTTGATTTCTCTCGTTAAGTGTCTGCCTTCGGCTCAGGTCATGATCCTGGGGTTCTGGAATCGAGTCCCACATTGGGCTCCCTGCTCTGCAGGAAGTCTGCTTCTCCCTCCCCCACTCCGCCTGCTTGTGTTCCCTCTCTGGCTGTCTCTCTCTCTCTGTCGAATAAAGAAAATCTTAAAAAAAAAAAAAAAAGAATTGTTATCTTCCCTTTGAAATTCTCTCTGGACAGTTTTGGAAATAGAAAAATTCTTCTATGCCTAGATAGTTTCAAGAAAAGATGCCTCTTTTGAAGGTAACTAGGTGAATTCTTGGCAGCTCGATGATCTTATTAAAATCCTCTAAAAGAATGTTTGCTTTTAAAAAAGCACTTTTTTTTTTTGCTTAGCCTTAGTAGTTGATCATATTAATTTAATTTTATAAATCTGTTCACTCATTTATCTAAAATATATTGAATGCTTTCTCTGTGCCAGGCACTAAGTACTTGGGGTGCAAAAGTAAAGAAGACAGAGATTCTTGCCCTTCTGGAGTTTATATTTGTGTTATAAAAACTACCTGATTACTATACATTTAGTATATATCTGCTTTATGTGTGACTTTTTTAATAATTAGATGCCTCTTGTTTCCACGTAACAACTGGTTGCCTATTTCTAGGTCTCTTGATAGCTGCAGTTAATATTTTATTAAAGCAATGGCCATATGTCGTTATTAATAGGAAGTTTTATTGGAAATATTGAAAGCAATGATTATTTCTGTAAATTGCTATTTCATTTGAGTCCTCCCTGGTCACAGAAGTATACTAGTAGTATTTGGCTTGATATCCCTTAGTGCCCCTTAAGTATTAGGGTGCTGTATGCAATATAATTACTGTATGATTACCAGGAAAATCAGTAAATTAAAGCTGTTAATCATGTAGCATTATGAATTACTTAGTTCTTTTTAAATGTCACTCTATAAGGATAAATAGAACCTAGGTTTTTAAGAGAGGAGAAAATATTTTTTTCCATAATGCTTGGCCAGACAGGTGGCTGAGGGTCAGCTAGAAGCTGAATGTTGATTGAGTTGAATCATATTGTGGTAAAATGTTCATTAGGGGTGTATGCATGTGTATGTATGCATGTGTGGGAAAAGATATTGCAAATATAAAATCTTATTTTAAATCATTATACAAAATTATATTTGCCAGCAGTATTGGAAATATAGTACGACAAGTGAATGTTAGGAAGATGTACGTGGTCTAGGGTGAATAGAATTGGTGGCAGTGGAGATAGGGAGAAGTGCATGGAATTTGGAAAGGTCAGGAAAGAAATGCATTAGACTTGTTGATGGATTACTGTAGGACAGAGAGTAATGTCAACAGTAACTCCTAGGTTTCTAATTTGGATAGATTGTGGTGACAGTCACTGAGATGGGATACCCTGGAGACAAGGTTTAGGAAGAAAATATAGATTAAGATTCGTACGTGTTGATTCTGAGGCACCTTTGAGCCTATGGAATTCCAAACACATGGGCATGGGTGAAAACACTCAGAGACGAGAGAGCCATGAGATGTAGACCACTGAGGAAAGTGTGAAGAGAGCACCCACAACACTTGGAAGGTTCACAGAGGAGAAGCAACAGCAGTGGGGTTTGTGAGGGGGAAGAGAGAGGGCTTTGTCATTGAAGCCAAAGGAAGCCAAGTGGTCAACAGTGAAAGGATTGAAAAATGTCCCTTGAACTTAGTGGCATGGAGAGAGGTCACGCATTACCTCAATGAAAACTGAGAGATGCAGAAGCCATGTTGAGCTGAATTGAAGAATGAGTGGGAGAGGAGGAAATAGAGGTAATGACTATTTAACAACTCTTTTGAGAAATTTGTTGTTGCAGGGTAGGAGACCGTATGATAGCTAGAGGGTTATGTGGGGTTGAGGAAAGCTTTCTTTTACATAGGAGGTGTGTATTAGAGTTTTAATAGCGGTGGATACACTGATGACTTTACTGATCTATTTAACATGTAGCATAAATTTAATTGCTTTGCTATTCCCCTTATATTATGGGACTTAAAATTCAGAATGTTTTGCATTTAATTTCAGAGGAAATAAGCTTAGACCTTTGTACACTCTTGCTTTTAGTTAGTTCAGTTTTTTACCCTAAGAGTACAGAAACTCAGCTACCCTCAAACAACGTATGTTTTTCCTATTCAAAAGTATAATCAGAACCAAATAAATTGTGAGGAAGATCATTTTATGACTGATCCTGGCTCTCTTGTGGCATAATATTCTTTTGCTAATATACTCAACTGATAGCAAAGAAGAGGCAGCTGGAAGTTACATGTGTTAGATAGTTTACTCAGGTGTAAGTCTTCTCGAGAATACTAATCTCAAGAAATTTTGTGGAGCATATTTAGCTTTGTTGTTTTTACAAATTAAAGTTATATTTTAGTTTAAGTCCGTGAGAGAAATTTAAAGAATTGAAATGACTTTCTTTGTGTATAATTATAAAAGAATTTAAGATCATTGTGAATATTTCAAACAGCAGAAGAATATAAAAGAAGTACTTTTCCTCTTAATTCTTTTGCACATATATTTTGGAGTATATTCTTCTATATTTTCCAGTGCAGGCTGAGCTCAGGTTTCAAAATATTATGTGTTAGAGAAAGAGAGGGAGCAAGAGAGGGAGCAAGAGAGGGAGGGAGAGAGAGCATGAATATGTATTTAAAATAATACTATATATAAAATTTTGAGAGAGGGAGAGACAGAGAATATATATTTAAAATTATATCATATATACTATTTTGAAACTTGCTTTTTTCACTTAGCAGCATAATTCTGGTCCCTAATGTGCAATAGTGTTTTAAATCATATAAGCTCTACCTCCTTTTATTTCATTTTGCTCCAAGCCATTCAGTATCGGCAGCTTAGGTTCTCTAACTCAGCACTATAAAAGTTGCTTTGAAGAGGCTGAAAGAAAGCAGAATAGACATGCACTTGATGGCTTATTAAAAATATTAATGGGATGAATTTATTTGAGATTTTGAGTTATGGAAGTTATAACAGTTTTTCCAAAATGGCCAGATTATGATCGAATGGGAAAAGAATGGAACATATTTTCAGAGGAAGGGTCTGCTAAAAGTGAGGTCTGGGCTGGAGATGGAAGAGTATGCATAAGCTAGAGAAGTTGGTGAAGTAGATGGGAGGTCAGTTTTAGGAAATAGACATAATGGTTTTATGACTTTTAAGGCTAAAACTTGAAACCAGAGCCTGAACGTTAGATCAAACCAGAGTACATCATCAAGATTTGGAGTCCAGATGGTAACACCAGGGTCAGCTCTAAGAGATCAAAACTGAGCAACAAATAGAAGTAGAGATAAAATCTGAGCAAAGGGGCATAAAACATAGCTCCAGGTTCAAGCTAGGCACCAGAAAACGTTGAGGAATGGAATTTATATTCACAAGACTGGGCACTGCAAGTCAGTTTCCTTTTTCAGTTGGGCAGATTATTAGAGTAGCATACTTACTATGTCATCATTGACTTCATGACAACAGATATTTGCCTTTGTTTCGTTTCTAAATACCCTTGGCTGATAAGTATATGCTACTCCTCTAGCAAGGTGAAGTTGTATAGGTTGTATAGGTTTTGTAGGAAAGGTCTAGGTCCTTCATTTAGGGAGTACTTTGGGTCAGGATGTAGGGGTATATCAAGACATGATAGTCCTGTGATCCGCCTTCAGCATTCTGTTCCCCATCCCCTGCCGTACCCACGTCATTAGCCAACTTGCCCTACGTTCATGTCAAGGGATTCAGATGGTTCTTTTTATGCCTTGAAATGCTTCCCAGAAATGTATAATTAACACATTCATTTTTATGAATAAGTTCATAGGATGATTTTAAACAGTAAATGAGAGGAAGTAAAAAATTTCTTGACGGTAGAATAACACGGTTCACCAATAAAGAAGATGGGACCGGGGAACAACGTCCAGGACATCACTGAGCTACTAATGGTATTTCATGCCCTCCTTCCCAGTTTTTCTCTCAACTCGGGCTTACATTTTTATGTAAATTCATTGGCATACTTTTCATAACAACAGCAGTTCAGCGGTGGTGAAGAGAGTATGAATGGTTTGTTTTCTCGTTTTCTTAGGCACAATAACCTTGGTGCACGACCGAAGGGGCTGTCCACTCTGGTGAAGAGTGGCGTCCCCGAAGCCCTGAGGGCAGAGGTGTGGCAGTTATTAGCAGGCTGCCATGACAACCAGGCAATGCTGGATAGATACCGACTTCTTATCACAAAGGTAGGAAGCTTTTTTCATATTCTTCTCATTGGACGGCATTTTAAGTAAGTACTGTTTTCATAGCTGCAATAAGTCATAAATGTTTTGAACTTCTTTAAAAACTGTTTTGGTGTTGTGCAGTGAATGGTTCTGCCTTTTGTTCTAAGCACTTGTTGTAGATAGTGGTAAACAATGCCTTGGCTTTCATTTTTTTGTGGCATTGGAAGCTATTTATATTTCAAGTGTTTTCAATGAAGCTTTCTTAATGTATGAGATTTATATACAATTATATTTGTACACAGTATAAAATATACTCTAGTATAATTTTAAAATCAAATTAAATTATTTGCTCTGCCATGGTACTGAGACCTCAGTAAGTCGTTGGGTCCAATGGCTACTTGTCCCATGTGATTTAGGAGTGAACCAAGGGAAGAAGGGGCTTGCACACCTTGGGGAAGGAATAACAGTGGTGCTCACACTTATGTATGTGTTTTCATGATATTAGAGTTTTCTTGCAATTTGCATGTGCTCAATTACATGGATTTAAAGGTTGTCTAGTTTTAACTTAACCCCCACAGGATATCTGAGTGGTCTAAAGAGATTGCTATCATAGGATGTTATATATCAAGATACTAAAAATAACAAAAAACAGAAAACAAAAACACTAATCTGTCCCTTCAAGTAAAAATTAATGTCGTATAAAGGATGACAAAGCAACTACTTCTAGAAATAAACTCATGTTATAGAGAAGGACATTTGAAACACTTGGCAATTTAAACGTCACTATGTGAAGTCACACTGAAAGCTATATGTGTTATTATAAAACTCTTAACATCTTCTTAAAAACCTGGAATCAGAAATTTCAAATGTGTTTAAAACTTGTACAAATAGTTGCAGAAAATTTTGGACTGAAGGTTAAAAATATAAAAATAAAACATCTTCTGGTTTACTGATAAGAATTCATTTGAGGGGCGCCTGGCTGGCTCAATCGGTAGAACATTGACTCTTGATCTTGGGGTTGTGAACTCAAACCTCATGTTGGGTGTAGAGATTACTTAAAAAAAATAAAATCTTTTTTTAAGGAAAAAAATTCATTTGAGAAAATGGGTAATTTCCTAACTAAATTTCAACAAAATGATTGATGGGTGCGACTGAAAAAAAAATGATGCTCCTCTATTTGGGTCTCTGGATCTCTGTCAGTCTTTTTCAGATATGATAATGATTAAAACCATGAACGAAGAAAACTATTTTTGAAACAAGTTTCAAATTGTTGTTTCATAAACTGCTAAACCAACGTATTAAAAAGTAACTCATATTGTATGATTCTGTTTACATGAAATGTTCAGAATAGGCAAATGCACAGAGGCAGAAGGTAGGCTAATGGTTGCTGGGGGCTGGAGGATGGAAGAATTGAGAGTGACTGCTAACAGTTACAGGGTTGATTTTGGGGTGATGGAAATGTTCTGGAATTTCATAGTGGTGATGGTTGAACAATATTGTGAATATACTAAAAACCACTGAATTGTACACCTTAAAATGGCAAATTTTATGTTATGTTTTATGTTATCTCAATAGAAAAATTGCACAAAATAACACATTTTTAAATGACCCATGTTCAATATTGAATAATATTTTTGTGTAGCGTAAGGTTTTCATTGGTTTTATCTTTTTTTATATCTTATCTACATTTCTATGCTTTATAAGATCTATATTTACAGTAGCACTTGTGCATAATAAAAATTAACAAAATAAATACACATGTATTGGAAGTTTATGGCCAGAAAAGTTTTTATTAATGGAGGTATCTAAGAAGAAATGTCCAGAGACCATAACTCTGGGTGTCAGATCACTTTTTTATATAAATAACAAATTGTATACTTTGAATGGCTGCTTATAGGATAGCAGCTACTACCATATCCCTTTCTCTACTAAGAGGCTTTTAAAATTCATACCTTTTAGGGTTTCAGACTTTGGGAGAAAAAGAATAGTCTCCCGTGATGTTATTTATGAACTCCCGACAATACAGTGTATGTCACATACGTGATAAAAGCTTTACCATATATACTGAACACCATGGGTAATTTTGAATATACAATTGCGGTAAGGAGTTTAAGATCAAGAGACAGAATGGCAAAAAATGTTTTCATTGAATAAAATATTTTGAGACTCTCTTTCACTCTGAGATCTGGCTGCGATTTACTTTCTGCATGTGAAGACTGGAGGGAGGCAAGAGCCATATTATTTTTTTCTAACAGTAGTAGACAGATCTCTGGGCCTTGCCAGTTGTGAGACTTGGCATCTGTCTCCAGGCATTCCATTCTGAATCACCTGCCTTCGTTCTGTAGTTCCTGTTTCCTGCAGTTTCCGAACTTGAGGAGCAACAGCAATCCCTTAATTCTCTGGACTGTATAGTAGTGGTGGCAAACCTGAAAGCTAACAGTGGTGTCCCCAGTCTTCTGGTCTTCAGCCCTTCCAGTGCTTCAGTACCTAAGTTCTTCCATTAAATCTCTTTTGAAATACTTCCCTGACTGAACTCTGTCTCATGTACTTGGCACATGCTTGTCACCTTGTCACAAAATGGCTGCTTTGCACCTGGTGGTGTGTTCAGAAAAGAAGGAAGACAAAGGCAGTCAAACTAGACTTTAAGGGAACAGTCCTCCAGGCTGCCAAGTCTGCCCAGGACTTCTGACACCAGCTGCAAGTTTGGGGGTCCACAGAACCACTCTTAACTTCATTCCAGCTCAGCTACAAGTTTGGCCAGAAAACTTGGAGGACCACTATAGCAAAATGTTAAACTCACAAGTATAGGTTTAGTTTAGTTTTGTTTTGTTTTTAATAGCAAAACAATACGAACCAGAACCAGCCAAAGGAAGAGATATATAGAGCAGAATCTGGGACTGAGGATTTCAGATATGACGCTTGCATCGTCCTCAAGGACACTTATCCTTCCTGCATCAATGTGTAGCAGCACGCACTTAGAAAATCACCAATGGAGGAAGCTCACCAAGCTTTGGACTCCAGGATTTTTATTGGGGTTTCATTACATTGGCATAATTGATTGAATCATCACCCACCTGGTTAAACTCAATCTTTAGCTCTTTCTTCTCCCCTCCCCTGAAGTTGGGCTAATATCATCTGGCTCAACACCTCTAACCACATGGTTGGTTTTTCTGGCTTGGCTAGCCTCCATACTGAGTCCTCTTTTTAACATAAACTGTCTAGAGGCCCACCATGAGTTGCCTCCTCAACATAAACTATCAGATATGGTTGAAGGAGCCCAGCCCGAATGAAAAAAAGACACTCCTATCTTTTGGGAGATTCCAGGGATTTAGAGGTTATCTCCCATAAGTTTATACTGAGGCTAGACCTCTCTTTGCCATATCTGAACCAAGCCTGTTGCCCGCCCCCCTTTTTAAAGATCCATTTATTTATTTTAGACAGAGAAAGAGAGTGCATGTGAGTGGGGGTAGGGGCAGAGGGGAGGAAGAGGAAGAGGGAAAGAATCCCAAGCTGACTCTGCAGTGAGTGTGAAGCCTGACCTGGGGATTGCTGTCATGACCCATGAGATCATGACTTGTTAGATCACAACCTCAGCCAAAACCAAGAGTTGACACTCAACAGACTTAGCCACCCAGGTGCCCCTGTCTGTTGCCCTTTTAAAGAGCCTTCCCTTAAACCTTAAGCAGCAACTTTTACTTAATCTTTTTGATCAGAATTCTGTTACTTGGCTACTATCTCCCTGGGAAGTTGGGAATTTTCTTTTTTTTAGATGGGTATATTGCTTCTCTCCTCTACCCACTGAAATATGGGTTTATTAATAAGGATGAAAAGAGAAAATAGATATTGGGTAGACACCCACCTTTCTCTGCTACAGTTGCCTGTTAATAGAGGCAATAGTTGAGATCTGTTGTGGAATAATTTGTTATAAAAATTAAGCTTAGTAGTTTGTTTATTTTAGAATGGCAAATGTTTAAAAATTACCACTAGAGATTGACTGACAATGTAGAATTTAAGATAGTTTAATAAATATTTCCATGTTCAGTTTATACATTTATGACTATGTGAAATTTTTAATGTTACTTCTATTGTTAACAGTACAATTTATAAAAAACAACATTTTCATACAAACAGTATAGAAATGTGTGGCTCTAATAATGTTCCTTTATTCAAGCTCTCAAGTTATAACATTTCTGTGAGAGGAAGTACAATGGTATATTTAGTTTCATTGTCTTCCTTCTAATAAAAGATAATAAAAGATGAATGTAAGTATCTTAAAAAAACAATTTTGTCCTTTTTCTATGTTTAAGGGTAGAAATTAGACAGCAAGTGCTTGTAGCCAAGAATGTATATATGTACTTTGGTGGTGAATACATATAAGTTTACCAGCCACTCAGTAGAAAAAACATGAACACCCAGAGGATTTTCAGTAAGAAGTGCCTCCAATATTTGGTACTTGTTCATCATGGTTCAGCAATTGGTAGTGTCTTCTTTGGTCAAGTTAATTTTTTCATGTCTTATCAAGGAAATGGCAATATTTCAAGGTCAGTTAATGAAATAGTTCAGCTTGAACCAATAGTTGCTTTATAAAAACCCTACCAAAGACCTAAGATTATGTAAGGAAGGAAGATCAGTATTTACAGAAAACTTACCTAAGATTTGGCTTCTCTGAAAAAGTAGTCTGTTGGAGCACCTGGCTGGCTCAGTTGGTGGAGCATGCAGCTCTTGATCTCAGGGTTGTGAGTTCGAGCCCCACGTTGGGTATAGAGATTGCTTAGAAATAAAATCGTTAAGAAGGAAAGAAAAGAAAGAAAGAAAAAGTAGTCTGTTTATCATTATCATATCTCAATTCCCTCATTTATAGAATGTTCTTAATCTGTATCATACGGAATTGTTGGGAGGATTCAGTTAGATAATCCACATGAAGCACTCAGAGCATGCCTAGTACATGGTAAGCACTCACTAGTGTTAGGGATGAGGAAAATGATAAAGCAATATATGCTTCAATGAGTGGCACAGAAAAG